CCTCTTGGAAATCAATGGAGAATAGATAACAGACAATGAGGAGATTCTCCAGCAAGTTCATCTTTATCGCCACCTAGAGAGTGGTTGAGGCACTGCANGTGGTTGAGGCACTGCACCTGAAAGGTCCTTCAATCAGGTCCAAATCCTGCCTGGAAACAAAAACCGCCCAAGACAAAATGCTAACACAGCTGCCTCTGAGTAAAGCTGTGTGTGTACGCACTTTCAGGAGTCGTCCTGAGGCCAGAGTCGTCCTGTAACCTCAAACCAGCTGAACCAATCCTCCTGGACCGTTTTGTAAGTGAAGGGATCAGTGCCCCCGACGTCCTCACGGACTTCCTTCGCATCAGCGATTACAGTCTGTAATCATCTGCCTTTGTTTATGGCCTGTCTCCCTCACCGGGCTGCAGGTTCTGTTAGGCCTAGGCTGCGCTCTGGCCTGGTGTAGAGTAGGTTGAATTTAGTAATTTAATATTGAATAAATGGATGCATAAACTGCTATTTCTATCGTTTCAACGCTAGTGACTCTTAAAGACGACAGTATGTCTCCCTTTGGGTGCCCGAGCAAACACCAGGGAGAGACTGGAAACAGGGAGGGACGGGGTTGAGATCGAAAAGGAATACTTAATACTATAATCTAATTTCACAAAACACACACCCAGAAACCCACCTCTTGTTTTGTAATAGAAGCTACAGAGAGGAAGATGCCACAAGATCTTGGCTCGTAGGGCATGGGTTAAAAAAGGTTGAACAACACTACATGAGACTCCAGGAAAGCATATTTACATTTTTTTAAGATTTAAAGAGCTCAGAAGACTTCCAAAATGAGTAACTAGTTTCTAAGCACCACAGGAGATGTTTTATGCAAAATAAATCTGAGTATTGGCTCAGACAGGAAAGAGGCAATCATGGCAGGATAAAGAAAGCTAAAACAAAACAAGAATAGCAGAGAACAAACAGTATCAAACAAACTCGAAAAGGAGTGGGAGGCGAGAGTAAGGGGGGGGGGGAAGACACGACTACGACGACACTCAAGGAGCCCATTTTCTCCCCTTAACTCTACCAGCCCCTGTGGGAGGAAGTAGAAAACGCCCCAAACCGCATGGGCCACGAATACTGGCTATTATGTTAGATTATCTTCTAATTCTTTTTCTTAAAATAAGGGTCTAGTCTTCCAAAGCTACTATAAATAACACTGAGGTTAATTACCATTAGAAGGTCTTCTCCTAGCCGACTGTACTCCCGCTCTTCCTGAGGGTGCAACATGCCCGAGTCACTGTCCGTATCTCCAACAGCCTCTTGCTCACTCCATTTGGACATCCTGCCATGCCTTCAACTCTCATGGTCCCCACTGACGGCCCCTGAGCTGTGCTGCCTCGAGCACACGTTCATGTCATCAGCTCCCAGAGGCCCCTAACTGAGGGTTACACATCAAGTGGGTCGGTCCAGCATGCAGCCAGCACTCGGGCCCGACCACACTGCATCTCGGAAGCCCACGGGGGCCCTGGTTTTGGACTCCTGGGCCCCACCATTCCTCTGAAAAGGCTGCAGCTACTTCCTGAGGCCCTCCCAGGAACTGGTATTTTCTTAACCCTCTTATGGGAAAATATATTCTTATAGTAGTTTGAATGAAACCTCACCAAGATAGGACACCATGTTCAACAAGGAAATCTATCCATTTAAGCCCAGAAAAACTGTCCTGAGAAACGATTCACCTACATCTAAATATAGATACTAAAAAAACCCCATTCCTAAAATCACAATCAGCGTGCTTTTCGAATCCCCTCCTCCGTTTCCTCAATTCTCCAGCTCCCATTAACTGAAAGCATGGTGTGCCTGGCCCCACACTCAGGAGCGTTACACACATCACCTAGAACTCGCCTTATAAAGTCGTAGTGTGATCTGGGCCGTCTACTTCAGGGTAAGAGACCCAGGGCTCAAGGCGCTTAGGACACTGGCCGCCACCGCTGTGTGGCTGCAGGCCTGGCTCAGCCTTGGCCGTAAGCACCCTGCATCTCTTTCTGGGAATGGCATCACGTCCTCCCTGCTGGAGGCTCGAGAGACCATCCTGGCGCCTCCTCCCGCTCCCACCCTCGTCTGGGAAGGGTCAGCTCCAATGGAACCTCATCCCGGGCCTCCTCGAGGCCATCCCCTGTGCCAGGAGCCACCGCTCCGATCTCTGCACCTCCACAAGGCCTAAGGCCTACGGTGGCTCCATAGCTTCAACTTATTTAAAATCATAGTTAAATCAAACAACCTATAAGCAAGTAATATCTGTTTTCAAGGGCCTGCTTTGTGGGACGAGCACCATGCTGCTCACCACATCATTCATGCTCTGGAAGCATCTTTCAGGTCACCACCTAACAATATAGGGGTCAGTCACATTCATTCAGGGCCTTGCATTTTCCAAGAGACGTACTTTCTCTATATATTGTGTCCCTAGATTCCGATGACAATTCCACGAGGAGGGCGTGACAGAAATAGACCATCTTCCTCAAAACGGAAAAGAAGGAACTAGAAGACCGGGCTTGACAAGTCCAGGGCCCATTTTAAGTTTCTATCCTATTTCGGCCACTGTGTGACCTCAAGTAAGCTCCTTCACCTTTCCAGTGGGTCACAGATTGGGTTAATTTTCAGTATCCTTCTCGAGCTCAAGTTCTGCGACATAGTCTTAGCGTAAATTGAAAGACAAACCAATCTTGGCAAGCCTGAAGAACGACTAGTGTTAATACGCGTAAAGTGGGGGTGGGGGGGTTGGCCTGCTGAGCACCAGTGAGGAACCAGTGCACACTTAAATTTACGGCTTTGATTTAATCTTGTTGGACCTCACACCTGCAGAGGCGCCTAAGGCTTCAGGGTGGTGAGTCTGGGCTTCTGAACTGCTGAGTCTTCGAGACGTGACAGGAACCCTACCAAGCACAAGGGGGCTTTGCTTGATGACAATTTAAGTCAAACGTCTTTGCATTTTGATGAGGCAGCTGGAGTTTCTGGAAAATATTCTTGAGCTGGATATTCAGAAAGGTTCTTTCTACGTTTCCCCGCTGCATTCCTCCAGTTAGTGGGGGCTTGATCATAAGTGTCTGTTTCTGCCTCCCCAGACGCCATCATCCTTCAGACCCCTACCCGTGTGGTGTGGAAAGGACTCCTTGCTGCAAGCAGACACCTATGTTTTCATGCAAATGGATCTATCAGTTCCACAGGATGAAATGGAAAAAAATGTATGGACTACAAAACAGGGGGGATTACCTCTGCACAGAGCATCAGCTGATCATCAACACCATCTTCTAAGAAGTCTAAACATCAGCACTCTTCCAAATGGAAGGGCACAAGAGCCTAGCTAGCGGCAGGACTGTCTCACGTTTCAAGTCCCTCATAAAGTCACAAGAAAGCTATACTCCTTGTCTCACCAGCCTAAGGCCAAACCGCCCATCTGACGGCCTACTGTGTGCAGCCTGGAAGAACATGCTGATTTTATTAAGGAGGAACACCTCTTTTCAGTTACGGGGTTTTTTTTGGTTTTGTTTTTTTTGGGGGGACGGGAGGAGAGTAGTCTATCCTTAGCTGAGCATGGTTGCAAAGGCCAAATCCTGAGTACTTGTTTCATCAGCTGGTTCACTAAATGAATTTGGTCTTTGTCTTCTGGGCTTTTGGTCAAGAGCTAGTTAGAATTTATTCCAGGCAGGAGAGATATGCGTGGCATTGAGATAGTTATGGGTTTCTATGTTCCCTTGAGATAAAATTACAGAAAGGGGTGGAGGGAGGTGAGGGGGCCTCTTGGCCCCCAGGACTCTGGTGTCATTCTCTCCTCTAGACCTTTTTCAAGATTCTCAGTTACCTGAAGGCTCTCTGAACAGGTAGGTACAGGCCCTGCCCGTCTCAATAGGTCATCACTACGATGCTGGTAACCACAGTGAGGGGATAGGAGCCCTCTCCGAGTCAGGTGAGTGGTGACACAATGCTCTACGGCATAGGCCTGCAGCTCGGCATGTTAGTGGATTAAAAGGATTCGATGCCTTACTCAAGTATGTGCTAGTATAATGTACAGAGCAGTAAGAAAAACACTGGCAGGCTAAACCTCTGGCTCACACATGCTGCTACTGTTAGGGTCACTGGTTATCTTTGATGAGTACCATTCATGCCAAAGCTTAATACAACTTTTCTCTGTTATTTTAGGATCGATGAGGCCATTTGGGGTCTAAGAACACAGCTGCCATTTATAACACCATTTCAATGGAGAATAAGCTCTGAAAAAACACTGTTTTGAATAAAGCTCACACTGCCCAGAAAATGGCCCCAGTGATTCAAATAGGCATGGCATTGTGTACCGGGAGGCCCTGGAAACCTGGGTTGGCAGGAGCTGAGCACACAGGAACCCTGCGTGTGGTCGTACTGGCTGAGGTCAAACCCGCAGCTACAGCTCTGGGAACCCCTCAATTTCCCCCAGGCTGGGGTGACCCTTTCGTGTTGGCATTTCTGTGCCTCAACTGGTCCCTGTCCAGGTGGGAACACACTGACTTTCTGAGCAGAGCACTTTCTGTGGATTCAGGGTCCCGGACAAGCGCTCTGTTGCTACAGAACAGGGTGGGGACCATCCACCCCTGGTGCCAGCCCCGCGGGGCACTTGACCATATTCTGCCTAGCAGAGCAGGGAGGGCTCAGGTCACACAGGACCTGGGTGAGCATCCCGAATCGCCGAGAACCTTAGGCCGAGTACTCAGCACCTCCGAACCACAGCCCCTCATCTGCATGGTGCCAGCAGCGGTTGTACCTGCCTCGTTTGGCCAACATGAAATGAGAGGTGCCGGGCTGAGGCCTCCAGGGCTTCCTAACTATTAACTACAGTTACTACTCCCGTCTTCAGAAGAGAGGCATTTTAGTGGAGAGGAGGGTCCCTTTTCAAAGAAGAACTCAAGTTCCACCCCCTATTAGAGAGGAAAGAACACAGGCTTTCGAGCCTATGTGGGTTCTGGACTGACTCTCAACTCTACCACCTACCAGCTATGTGGCCTTGGGCAAGTCACTCTCCCTCCACAAGCCTCAGTCTCCTCATCCGTGAAATGGGCACAAAAAGCGCATGCCTGACGGGACGGCCGTGAGGTGAACACGAGAATGCACAAGGAGCGCCCACAACACTGTCTGTCTCGCTGGGGGTGCTGGGTGGGCATTGCCTCCCATCCTCTGCCACTCTAATGCACCCTGCAATTTCTCCCCCACAGCTGGGTAGACTCCTAGCTTTGAGGCTGGAGTCACAGGTCCCTTCTCAAAACCCATACCTTTCCCAGTGTTTCTTGGAGGCAGCGGAGGCGCATCTGAGGTTGGTGATGTGGGTGAGTCTGTGTTGGTGGAGACGAAGATCTGGTTGGTGAAAGCGCCGTAGGACAGGCGCTGTTTGTCCCGTGGAGTGCCGAGTCCTGGCAGGGACAGCTTGTCCTGGGGGGAAGTGCTGGAGGAGTGACAGAAGCTCTGAGGTCTTGGTGAACGTTCTTTCTTGATGGGGCTCGGCTGGCGGACAGATAACAGTGCAGTGGGTCAGACAAGCATAAAGACGGCTCGTCAGGCGTCGAGAAGACCCCTGCAGGCAGGCCTCCTCTGGGAATCTGGGCTCCCATGGCTCTCTGAGCCTTATGAGGTCACCCACAACGACAGCCTGAGAGCCACGGCACAGTACCGGGAAGGATGCAGACATGTCACTGTTCCCAGGGTCACGTTACGGAGCCCCTGGTGAGGGATCCGCAGTACTCAGAAGCGTAAGGTCAGAGGCAGAGCTAACCGTTAGTCAAAACATCCCTGCCTCGTGCAGGACACTGTCACCAACAACCGAACAGGTTTTTCACCTATTTGCAATTGACTCCATTAAATGTTCCTCTCTGCTCACACATTTAGTGCTCAAGTTCTGAATACACTTCTCAGTTTACGTCTTCTTAGAAAGTAATCATGTACACACGGCTTGGGGGCTCTGACTGACACCCACACTGATGACTCAGGCCAGCAAGTCCAACCCCAGACTCTTGGGCTCCAAACCATGTTCAGTCGCCTGAGAGGCATCCCTCGTGTTTGCACTCTTGGTGCTTTAGCATCCATGCGACTTTCCAAGTTCGGACCCTCACTGTCATCCAGGGCCCGTGGGTCCTACAAGGAGAGCTCAGACATGTCCCTCGAACCCATTCCTAGTGCACTCACCACGTCCCACAGGAATGCTGGCCTCCTGAATAGCCAGATTCCAGTTCTGTGAACTCCAGCCCGCTTTCCGCACGGACGCCAGAGCTGGTAACAAACCTTGCTCTTCCAACAAGAAATCTCTGTTGGCTTCTGACCGCTCGGATGATGCCTAAGGACACACTAGGCCCACGGTGCCCTCCTGATCTAGGCTGCCTGACCCTGCAGGGCAGACTACTGTCTCTCTCCACAAAGCTACCCCGAAGGTCACCTCATGCCCTCTGCTTCTAATCATTCCTCCCTCCTTTGCCTGGCAAGCTCCTCCCTACCCTTGGAAACCCATCTCCAACTGTACTTCCTGGAGAAGGGCTTCACTGTTTGGCAAGGCTGAGCCATTCGCTCTGTCCTCTGGGCCCTCTCAGGGTTTTCCCCGAACTTTTATTATAATGTTCATCTACTATATTATAATTTATCTCCTCTCAAAGTGGTGAATGCCTTCAGGATGCCTATATAAGACCGTCTTGACTTTTCCTTACATTCTGCTCAACAGACATCCGAGGAAAAATGCATCCATGACCTTTAGAGGTTGTTAAGAAGTATCTACGAGTGTCAGACAGAACTAGGTTTGATCCCTGAGATTCTACTAGCTCTGAGACTTTAGACAATTTGCCAAATTTCTGTGTGTGTCCATTTTCTCTTTGGTAACCTGGGGTCCGTAACCAAGGCACAATGTGAATTTGGTAGAGATGAGCTGAGATGACAAGGCAACGTGTCGACTGCTGTCTAGTCTGTCTGTAAGTACTTAATTAATAAATGACAACTTGTTATTTACTACTTATCTGTTTTGATGGCTAATTTTGTGTCAACGTGGCTAAGCTACGGTGCCCAGGTGTTTGGTCAAACACCATTCTAGGTGTTGCTGTGAAGGTATTTTTTTGGTGTGTTTACCAGTAAAATTAGATTGTGAGTAAAGGGGCTTACTCTCCATAACGAGGGTGGGCCTCATCCAATTAGTTGAAGGGCTTAAGAGAAAAGACTGAGGACGTCCCCTCCCCCAATTCTACCTCCAGACTCTCGCCTGCACCATGACCTCTGGCTGGGAGTTCCAGTCTGCCTGCCTGCCTGCCCCATAAATTTTGGACTTGTCAGCCCTCACAAGTTGTGGGAGCCAGTTCCTTAAAATCAATGCTCTCTCTCTCTATGTATACCTATCCCATTGGTTCGAGCAAAGAAAAGAGCCCTGGTACACCAGGTCGTAGCCCAAACAGAAGCTCACAAAGAATGGGCCTTGTCTGCATAGTGCAGAAAAGTTGGGAGAAGCACTCAACAATTCAAAGGCGTTCTGCACACTCACTTTGTCATCAAGGTCATCGTCACTCTCATCCATGTCCTCCTGTCGAAGGCTCCATTCATATTCTACGTGGACACGTGGATTGAGGTTTCCAGATTTCGCCTGGGAAAGCTGAAAGTAACAGCAGGTGTAAACATTTTCACGTAAATGCCTAACACCCCAGGATTACAGAAACACTGAGCACATCCCACCTTATTCCTGGTTTCAAATTAACCATCAGGAATTGCATTAGAGGCAAAACTCTGACTATGGAAGCTGCGCTGCACAAGACAGGCCCAAGAGAAACTGCAGAGAATTACAGGCATAGCCTTTTTTTTTTTCAGTTTGGTAACTCGGCTTCTCTCTGAATTTCAAAGCTTTCTTAAATATGATTAAAATGACTCTCAAAACTAAATTCTTGGCAGAAGGGCAAAAATCAGAGTTAGTGGCATGTGAAAGGCGGGTCTGTCAAGTCAGGCCCAGCTCAATCCACGCCCCACTTTCCTTCTTCACCCGCGGGGGCAACGAGTCTTGTAAGATGACGATTTACAACTGCCGGCCTGGAGCTCGGCACTTGGCAGAAAGTCAAGGGCCTGTAGCTCATCTTTCCTGGTTCATCCTTTCCCGTGGTTAAGAGAGTCATGCTGTGCTACGGCCCGGAGTATAAGCAGGAACTAGTGAGATCAAAACACGGTGAGTGCATTCAGAGGAACGGGGAGGGGTGAACAGTGTGTTGAACATTTTAAAGACCATTACGCTCTGAACTTGACTTGCCCATATTTTGGAATTGGCTTCCTAAATAATTCTTTACTATTGCGCTACAGCGAATGCATAACGGTCTGGCAAATAAAAAGCATGACCTCGACCCACAAGCCCACCTGGTAATAACACCTCTTCAATGCCTTTTAGCTCCCGCATTCTAACTCCACTCAAAAGACAACTGGAAGACGAATTGGTCATTTTCTCAAACGTAACCACAGTGCTTGTCTGAATTTCTGTAGCCAGTGTTCAGAGAAAGGGAACATACTTCTTTCCTCTCTAATTCCAGTTTCTGAGAAGGACATTTGGAGGCAGCTGATGTCTTAGGAAATACCCCATGTCCATGTTTGCTTACCAAATCTTCACACTGAGTGGCTTTTAGTCTCTTTGCTATGTCGAGGGTAGTCTCTCCAGCCTGGTTAACTAAAATAGGGGGGAAAGAAATGGGCATCATTTTTGAGGATCTATCTTGGAAAGGCAAGGAACAACAATGCAACACGCAAGCCTCAATTTGGGCCCACGAATGCTCGTACCACACTTAGGGAGGGCCCCTTGGCCACACTCTTACCAACATCCAAAGCGGGTTTGCTCCTGAGCAGTAGCTTCAGACACTCCGGTTTATCGTACATGCTGCAGTAGTGGAGGGCTGTGTTTCCCACAGCCGTCTGCTTATCCAGGTTCCCACTGAAACATGGAGTTATGCTTAGGAAACAATGACTGACGTTCGCTATAACTTAACACTACAGGTTAACCACTTGCTTCTGTGCTAACAACTGAGTCAAATTTCAGGCCGATTTCTTATAAGCAGGGAAACTTATGTTTCTACCATTACACCCTAATGGACAAGCAACACAATGATAGTAACAGTCAGCATTTATTGAGTGGCTACTACAGGACAGACACTGTCTCTTAGCTCTTCCACGTCTCAGCTCATCTAATCCTCAGAACCACCCGATGCGGTAGGTGCCATTATAACTTTTATTTTAGAGGTGAAAACACTGAGGCACAGAGAGGATGAAGGGCTTGTTTTTAAGATCAGCAAGACGTGGACGATGGAGCAGGGATCTGAATACGGGCGGGCTGTCTCCAGAGCCAATGCTCTTAACCTCTAAGTAAGAGGCTTGGGCACTGAGTTTGGCTCGTGTCCAAGCACTGTTCTTCCTATGTAGGTTCAAATCCCCTCACCATTTTGCTCTCTCCTTTGGATCGGCTCCAGTTTCTATGGCTTACAGATCTACCCAGTAAAGAATCTAGTAAGTTCAAATCTCCTGTGTTTAATATTATACTTCTATCAGTATGTCCAAATTTGAATTAGCTGTCGCGTCAGACACACACACGGCTGTCTTCTCATAAACTTATGTACAACGAAAAGTCACAGGGCCTGGTGACCTGCACTGTTCAGTCTGCTCTCAGCCTCTGCTAGTGAAGCAGGGTTTGGACACGGACACAGGAGTTTACACTTATCGAAGTTTGGGGTTGGCACACGAGAGAGAGCCTGCAGGCCTCATTTGGCCCTGCACTTGTTTTCTATAAATAAAGTTTTATGGGAACACGCCACACACACTCATTTCCGCATCGTCTACGGCTGCTTGCCTCCTGCCGTGGCAGATTGAACGGCTGTGACACAGGCCCCATGGCCTGCAAAGCCTAAGATGGTATCTGGCTCTTGACCGAAAAAGCTCGCCGATTCCTGAGCTGGGCCATTAATAGGACTGGTTTGTGTTCACGTACGGGGCATATTCCGAGAAAACAAAAACCGTACCAGTTTTGTACGAGGAAATCAACCAAATGGAGAGACGTCTGGTCTGCAGTTCGGACTGCAAGATGAAGGGCTGTCTCCCCGGGCTCCTTTAAAAAGGAAAGAAGTATCAACAGGGTGGTCACATGTCCTGCTTTGCCCACAGCAGCTTCGTTTACATCAGTGACCCCAAAGGTGTTATTTAACAGCACCCCTTTCACTCTCACCTTGTCCTGATTTAGACATGGTCACGCAATGAAATCTCATTATAATAGACATGGTCACGCAATGCATCTCATTAGAATCTCATTAAAATAAAACGAGTCGCCTTTTCGGTGGGTTTTCCACTTCCCTTCTCAGCCTCTGGTTCTGGTGAAGCCTCACCTGCCCGGGTTCCAGTAGTGGTTCCGTTAGCTCCACCCCCTCTGCATAGACTTGGATTAGTGCAAGTAAGTCCCTGGATCTGATGGCCTCCAGCAATTCACTCAGTTTAGCTGCTGCTGATGAACAGGTTTTCCTAGAAAACCTATGATCCACGTACTTTGCAGTGATGTAGTCTTTCCGTGCAGTCCTAAAACACAGCATAATATGAACAAAGAATTTTAATTTTCCAGGAGCTACGAAAGTTGACATTTTCCTGACAAACAATTCCTTGTTTGTCAGTTCTCTGAGAAGAGTTATTTTAATAAAGACACTTCTTTTCCACATTCAAACAAACCAGGTTTTAGACCAACTTATTCCAATAGAGACAGAATGAAGAAACTGGCGATGTATATTTAGTAGTGTGTGTGGGCAACGCATAGTGACCAAGTTAATGAACACGCAGATGCTAACAGATTTCTTTCCCGCCTTGAGAGACAGTATGAGACATCTGCTATTTGCTATCACTTTAAACTCAGACACATATAGAACGAAACTGAAAAGTTTAGGAAGTTAAAACAATTCTAAAAGACCAATGAAAGGTTTTCAGAGCTTTGGGGAAAGGACTTCAGTCATCTGACATGACTCCATTTTTTAACAGGTAAGGAAACTGAGGCTCAGCAAGGTTGTCCTTAACACCTTATGTCTCCGTCACTTGTGCTCCTTAGTGTGAAAAAGACATCCAAGCAGTTTCTGTGCTCGGACGATGCTCGAATGCTGCTGTCAAGCCACACACCCCCAGATCAGGTCAGGGTGTTAGATACGCCTCCAACATGGCTGACTTTCCTTCTGGGACATTTACCACAACTGTGACTATATTGTTTAATTCCCTGGTTACTATCTTCCTCTCCGGACTCCATCATGAGGACAAGGTTTACATCGAGTTGGTGTTTTGCTATCTGCCCAGCATCTAACACGACATGAGGCGCAGAGGAAACGTGTGATATGCATTTGATGAATTAAAAAAAAAGGCAACTGCAAGAGGCCTACTGGGAGATTTTACTTCATGACTTCAGAGTGGGAAAAAACTATCTTCCTTGAATGTGCCCCATCATAGTTTTAGTGCTTTGCAAATCCGGTGCCTGAATAACCACCAAGGAGGGGCTGGCAAACATTTAGACAGGCGCCTACTTCACAAAGCCCTCCCTGATCACTGGAGTTGAAATTAAATCTCTTTCTTCCTATTCATCCACAGGATTCAAAAAATTTTAAGTGTAAATTTAATGTAAACATTTTGAATAGGTTAAAAGATTCACATGATGCCCAAATAAAAATGCTATCAAAAGGTGTTTACTGAGCTGTCTCACACTCACACCCACCCCAGAGTAAGCACTTGAGTTGCTTATGTATTTTCCAGGGTTATTTCAAGCAGACACTATTTTAAATAAATATTATGTTTATGATCCTCCTCTGTGCAAACCTATTTGGTGTCTGAGTGCAGACAGTGAGTAGTGTGAGTTCAAAAGTGAGGCATTTATCAGCAAATTTACCCCAAATTCAGTTCCTGAGTTTGGACGGCACGTCTGTGTCCAGAGGGATAGGTGTCCAGTTCCCATGCCCGCCTCCTCCCCGCCCTGCCTCAAAGGCAGTCTCTTTCGTACTGGACTCTGTACCGTGTTGTTTTTTTTTAACTGAACAGTACTCCCGGAGAGTGGCCCAAAGCAGGACATAAGAAGCATCCTTCTTTTTTACGTCTGCAGTGTTCCGACGTGTGGCTATACCATCAATTATTTCATCAGATGCCTACACATGGACACTGGCTTTGTTCCTAATCTTTGTCTATCATGGAAAGGGAATGAACTCCCAGGAGCGGGACTGCTGAGTCAAGAGGTAAATACCATTTGCCATTGTGATAAATAGGGCTGATTCGCTCCTCACGGGGAGCATACCATGTTGTACTCCCACCAGCAGCACATGGGAGAGTATCTGCTGCCCCACAGCCTTGCTGAGTGGGGTGCTAGGTGTCTGGGCTTTTGCCGATCTGATAGGCATCTCCCGCTGCTTTTGTGTGTCTCTTACTTATCACAACATGCCATGATTTAGAGATAATCGTCCTCATGAAGATTTATCCTCAGAGCAGCTGTAACACCCTCGGGGAAGGTGTTGGTGAAAATCACCTGTACATTCCAGAAGTAGATCTCAAAATCCCTCTCTGTGCTCTGCTTTTTCCTCATCATGGGGCTCCCTCTAGAGGGAAAACTACTATAACCACTAAGCAGTTTTTCTGGAGGGTAGAAAAACAGTTACAGAATTCAAGTAAAGAACTCAATATATGAGAAGTACTTACATGTCACTTGAAGGGGTGGGTTTTGGTGATGGGCTAGGTAAATTTGCTTCCATAATGTCATTGAAACTGTTGTTTCCTACATTCTTGGCCAGCTGTAACACAAACAAAACACAACACAGCAAACTCCTTACTACTAGTTTAAAAGTTTCCTAGAATTTGCTTTTGAGATGTCCTGAGTAAATCCTTTCCCTCATTTGACTCAGAATCCTTCCACATGGTCAACGAATATTTGCTGAGCACTTAGCTCCCTCCCATAGGGACTAATAGGCCAGCAGGACCATTGAGAAGAAAACCAATAATTCTTATAAATACAGTGTGATAAATGCTAGGACAGAATACGATGTGGTCCTACAAATATACACTAATTATCTGAGATTAGACAAAGCAGGCTTCACATTTGAATCCAGGTTACATGCTTGATGATCAACAGCTTTGCAACTATCATCCAGGCCTCATTTTAGATTGAGCAGATTTACTCTTATGGGACAGAAAAGAATGTAGGGTTCCTTTAGGTTTGGGATACAAATTAAGATGTGGCAGGTAGCTAAAGAAGAGGCCCCAGCAAGTACTTTGCTTCTGGGCTCAAGACCCTTCCAAGAAAATGTGGCCTTTGGTCATTCAGATAGTTTTGGGATCGATGCGCAGTTGAAGAAACATTCATGCAACCAGTACTCTGGGTTGGGGGGCGGGAATCCTGCGTTTATCGCAGGGCAAGTGTTTCAGATATGGACTCTCCCTATTTCTAGCTGTCAAACTGGGTTTCATGACTACAAGTCGAGGAGATGGAATGACATCACATCCATACTCAAGAAGGAAGTTTCGGCTATTAGCTCTGAACCTCTTCACAGTCCTGCAGCCATTAGGGAGGGAGTGTCAACAGTATGCGACTTCCTAACTCAACAGGCTCATCCAAGGCAGACCATCATGGCTTCACGGATGCTCAGATGACAACGGTTGCTGGCTGGGAGGCTAACTGCCCTGACTTTTGGGTACTTTTCTCCAGAGAAGGCTAGTGATAAGTTAGGCTTTCAGATTTTTGGAGCCTCAGGCTCACTCAGATTCTGCTTCAAGAGCCCGAGTTTACTTCACACACTCTCAATGTTAGTATGAAGACTCTAATGAGTGCACCAGGGTTCAAATTATACAAGACAGGGCTTATGCCCACAAGGCATTATGGGAGATGCCACGCAGGCCTTCCTCTCCTTTATTTGTGTATTGTGGGGACTAATGTAACTTGGGCTCCAAATTTGGCTGAATCATGATGGGAAGGGAAGGGTTATAAATCCTTTGAGTGTTTAGAACCCTTTTCCATGTTGTAAAGCTAAGCACCACACCTTCACAGTTTTTTTCCTTACTGCCTAAAGAAGCTATAGGTTAGGAAGTGATTGGTTTTATGACAGTTAACTGACAGGCCACTTTCAGTTCGTGTGTACTTTTACAAGCTTACAAACAGTAAAAACAGAGAAAAAACTCTTTAGTCATTATTTTTAATAACATAAGCCCCTAGGAAAAGTGAACATGTGAGTTCAACCCCTAGCTCCCTCGACTGCTATCATAGTGAATCATAAACCTAAATACAAAAGAAAAAAAAGCTGTTTTGAAAAAGCCCATCCCAGTAGAAAAGAGCCAGTTTACTTGAACTAATTACAGAAATGTCTGATTCATCAGTGTTTCAAACAGGAAATAGAACTAGTCAACGTTACATACCACAAAATTTACATTTTAAATCTCTATGCAAATTAACTAAATTCAGCAATTAGAATTCTGTGTACTCAGCAGGACCCAAAACCTCAAAGCAATATGTTACACATATTTATGATAATAAACTTAAAGTTTTCTTCCAAAGTACAGGTCACTACTTACTAAGAGTTCAGAAGTTCCTAATTTGTCTAGCTCCAAAGACTGAATGCGAGAAATGTGAACTCCCATCTCTCTGTGGATCCCGGAACATTCTATACAGGTCAAAATACCCAGGTTTGTTGAAAGCCATGTGGGCTCTGTGGAAAAGATTTTGAAGACAATGAACAAACAAGATATTTAATTTTAGTGTACCAAATACAGAGGAAGCTAGAACACTAGTAGTAAAACTTTTTAAGAATTACAAGGGGAAGATTTTAAATGGAAGAAATGGATGCTTGCAGTTTATCAGAAGGGCTTTTATAAAAATGAGTATCTTGTTGGAGAGCAAAGTGTGGTTAAGACAAATTTTTAAAAATTTCCTTTCAACACTGAATTGAAAACAAAATTTCTTTCTTTATTCTTGTGAAATGTCAGAAAGATGTTTCCACAAGGTCCTATGAAGCATCCTTAGGCCTGATGAGAGGTAACCTCTGATAGCAACAGATTGCAGGCCTGGTGAGTACAGCTTACAAGACACTGGCTTCTGCAGCCATCTTAACCTCCAAGTTACAATTTGCATTAATTAACCCATCATCCTGGTTATGGCTTCTCCACAGCACCTCTTGTAACAGGTAGCTGTGAATACTGAATGGCCAATGTTTCTTGCAGAGATCTAAGCCTTTCCTATAACCCCAAAGTCTCCAGAACATATTTTTATTCTCCAGCAGCAGGAACATATTTCTATTGCCAAGTCCTTCAGAGTTCTCTCTCTGTGGCAAGTTTCTTTTGCACTTGTTAATACCTAGGTATTTATTACTCCTGTGCCATATCCTCACACTGTGAATTACAGTCACACAACATACGCACAAATAGTAGAAAATGTGACACGTGTCTCTGATGTGCTTATGGCATGTTGTGTAGAGAAGGCCATTTTCACAAGGGAAACATCACATAATTCTAATGCTTAAGAAGAGGAGGTTTGCATCTATGACCTGATCCCTACTTGATGTGTGACGTCAAGCCAGTCATTGAACTTCTCTGAGTCCCCTGGTTTTCTCACCTGTAAAATGGGCTAATATTATTACCTTGCTCACAGAGCTAATGTGAGGATCAGGAGGAGAATATAAGCAAAACAACTAGAACAACCCTTATTATGATGTGAACTCTGAATAAATGTTGGCTACTGCCAATACCTAGGTAACATAGACACTATCGAAAAACAGAAGTTTTAGGGGGGTGGGATGTGATTTGGAGCTTGGAGAAGTTTCACTAAGCAGGAAGGCAAGTAATGTACCATGTGTCAGGCCCCATAGACACCGTTTCATTAAGTCTTCATAACAACAGAGGCTTATTGTCCCATTTTTAGGATGAGGAAAGTGAAGCTCAGAATACTAAAGAGACTCAGCATGCGGTCGTCCAGGCTCAGTGGCAGGCTGGTGACCGATTCAAAACCAGGATGATGGACTCCATGTCCAGTGCTCTCTCCATACTGTCCATGGTGCTACTGACCTGGACCTTACTAGGAAGGCAGCACTGTGGCAGGTGATGATAGGGAGAGCAGGCGGGGGCTTTCCAGGTAGAGAAAACAGCATGGGTAAAAAGCACTCAGAGGTGGGACCATTCATGTGCAGAACACATGTTGGCTGTGTGTCTATGTCCATACAGAGAAAGGCTTTTAAATAACTAGCTCACATATATTCTACAGGCAGAGAAAGGGTGTGTAACAAGCCAGCTCCCTTCGGAGACCAATACCTGCTGAGCCACAGTCACAGCAGACGTCATTCCCAGGGATCCGCTGGACATCCTCAATGATGGCTTTTGTCAGGTCTTCCAGGCTGTTCTCCCCGGTGCTCTGCTCTCCGCGGAAGGCCATGGTCAGGGCCTCCTCTTTGCTATTCATCAATACTGATATCCACCTGTTGTGAAAGACGGGAGGAAGGAGGCATAAGGGCATGGCCACTGTTCCTTCCCGTCACTACAAATAATCTGTGCTCACCAAGAGATCCCCAAAGAGACCCCACCCTGAAAGAGCAATAAAATGAGGAAAACTGAAAGCATTTCAACCTAAACGAAAGAGCGAGTTACAGAATGGAAAGCAACGCAAAGGAGGAAATGGGAGAAATGAGCAAGGTCGAGGTCACTGTCCCCGAGGACTTGCGCGAATACACAGACGCTTGCGTTTCCATTCGGACAGAATAAAGGGAATGTCAGACTTCTTTGTTCATTTTCACTGGACACTTTCACATGAGAATGTCACT